TGTATCTTGTAATTCACCTGTCCGCACATTGTCTACTTGGCTTGGAATCGCGGAGAGTAACCTAAAAGATGTTAGAGTTTCACTAGTGCGAAGCGAAGTTTCGATAATATTTTGTGAAAAATGCGTGGTTGAGACATAGAAGCGACAAGACACTTCTAATTATATTTTTTTCTAATTCATTCAATCGCTACTTATTAAGTACCCTTTGAATTATTTCATGATTGGTCTTTTCTGCACTAGTATAGCTTTCTTCATTTTCTTTATTCTGTAAGAGTCTAGTGATATGATTAATAGATATTAAATGTTTGTACTAAAAAGTCTCTTAATACTATTTTTGTGATGAGCATCATCTCAAAATCACTATCACAAGCACATCAGCAGTGCATTCTCACATCCATTATTGTTACTACTGCGCTGGTTAATAGAGAAGTCGAAGGAATGTGTTTTTCAGTGTTCCGCCATCTATTCGCCATCTATATTCTCAAAATGTGAACAGTTTTCATTAGTCTGAGCAGGCCATATTTATCTCGTTAAGAAATAAAATATTATGATCAATATAAATATTTGCATGTATTTATATTGTTTGTAGAATATATTTTCTATGATTTTCAGATTCTGAGTTTATAGTGAATAGAGCACATTCGTATACACTTTGTGTTTCTCTTTGCTCTACATGTTATAAAATTCCACCATTGGCAGAAGCAAACATTAATATTCTCACTTACTGTTACGTTGAGACACTTTTATGTGGTTTTGTTCGGCAGAATTTTTTTCTGCTACAGATCACTAATTGCCCATTATGTTCACCAACACCTGGCTCTTAAATGACCACTTTACTTTTCGCCCAACTTAAATGCGATCGATGGCGTTTGTACTCGCTTCCACCAGCTCTGCCTCGCCTCGTTTCCCGCGCCCCCTCCTCCGGCACCGGGACCGCAGCCGCCGCCGCCGCCGCCGCCGCAGCCGAGGGCCCGGGTTCCAAATGCGACCGCGACGATGCTCCCCACTCGAGAGCGCTCTTCGCCGAGGCGGCCGTGCGATTGTGAGCTATTCGCAGCCGCTTTGCCAACTCCGCGACTGGAAGTTGCCGAGCCGGAAAGCGACTCGGTCGAGGGGCGGAGGCGGAAAAAGATGGGTGCTGGGAGGAAGTATAGAGAAGGGAGAGAATGCGGATGAGCAGGCGAACGCTTGCACGTAAGACGGAGTAATGAAGAACGAAAAAGTGTAGTTGGAGATGGAGACAAAGAATCGGAGAAACATTAGGCTGAAGTGAAAGGCGGTGACAGACAAGGGAGAACTTGGGAGTGAAGGTGGAAATGGCGGTGGAGAAGTGGGCGTTGTCGGAAGCGGATATGAAGCTGTTTGAAGCTGTGGTCAGGCGCAGACATAGGTAGATGTGGGTGAGAGAGATACTGGGAGGTAGGAGAGACCGAGGCGAAGAGCGGGTGACTGTGAGGGCAATGGCAAGGATGAAGGGGAAGGCGAGGGCGAGGGCAAGAGTCAGGGCAAGTGCCAGGGCAAGGGCAAGGGCGAGGGCAAGGGCAAGGGC